GTATCCCCGTTTCTTCCCTGCCTCTCCGGGGGAGGGGAGGGTGAGCTGCTGGTGGGTGGAGCAGCCCCTGGGCTGCAGGGGGGTTGGTGGGGGGGACTGGTACTTCCCTCCGCGACAGCGGTGGCCCCCATCAGGTGGCACCAGCGCAGGCACCCAGCTCAGGCAGTCCCAGAGGGCACTACAGCTGCAGAGGAAAGGACCAGGTCCCCATGCAGCTCATGCAGACAGCCAGGCTCCAGACGAGGAAAAAAGAATATCATGCTGGCCACTTTTTTTTTTCTTTTGATGGAGCCTGCCTTCCTGGGCTGCAATATGCAGTTCTGATTATCTATATTTAAAAAGATGAATTTCAAATGAAATGGGTACAAGGAAGGGCTACTTAGGATGGTCAGAGGAATGGAGGGCAAATTAAAATAACTTGGTTTATGTAGTTTAGCAATTCATAGGTTAAGAAAGGATATGACTACTCCTTATAAATACATTTATGAAATGAGTATCAGGGAGAGAGAAAAAGAACAATATTGGTACAATATCATATAGGTACAAATTGGCTATAACAAATTTAGACTCGAAATTAGAAGGTATTTTCTAACCATAAAGTTGTGGAATAATCTAAAGAATTATTCCAATTTGTGGAACCAGGAAATGCCTACTTGTTCAAGATGGAGCCTGATATGTTAATGTAAGGGCTACATCAGCGCATATGATATGTGGATTTGAGCATTTGGTATTTCCAAGACAAATACTACATCTCTGTTTTAGAAGTATCCAGTAATCCCATGCTTCAGGGCTTCTGCTAGTCACCTGCAAGAGCCAGAAGGAACTTTTTCCCCCCCCATGAGAAAAACATGTGGCTCCTAAGAGGCTTTCCCAAATTCCTCTGAAGCACTGGTCTCTGGTCACATCTAGAAGTGGAAGTTTGGCTGAGGTGTGTTGGTCACTGGCAGGCTGGTCTTGATCATACTTTAGTCAGGGTCAAACTGACAGTCAGATTTGGTGTCAGCAAGGAATTTTTCTCCAGACAGTTATTTGTAAACACAGGCACCAGACTTAGTAGCCCCAGACGCCCTTTCCTATCCTACATTTCTAAAAGTGTAGCTTAAGTTTTAAGGCCTTGGATTAATTTTACAGAACTGACATTAAGAAACAGCTTCTGACTTGACAACTGAACAAATCTGATCCGGTACCTGTAAGTATGAAAGTGCACAATGCCCTCTTTTTAAACATTTTTATTACATCATTTCTCATACCTGTACTGTTTGTCATCCAGTAGGGGCTTCTGAGCAGCCAGGTATCTCCTGACAGAATCCTCCAATCTTGGAACAGGCAACCTAGAAGAACAGAATTATAAATAAAAAGCAATTTAACAGTAAAATCAAAATAAAGTAAATATATCAGTAACAGAGGAAACAACAGAGGACACCATCCAGGTTTAGGGAGGGGTGCAGCGGGCTGCCCAGCTGCAACCTGGCTCTGGAGGGGAAGGGGATACGGCTAGCCCTGAGGGCAGCGGGGGTGGTTAGGAGAGGGGCTATGACTCAGCCCTGTGGGGAGTGGGGGCATGGGGATGGGAGGGTAGAGAAGGAATGTAATCTGGCCCCAACACAGCCCTGTGCAGGGACAGGGTTATGGCATGGCTTGGCCCCAATCTAGATGTAAGCAAGGTGGAGGTGGGGTGTGTGGAGGAGCATGGCCCAGCTGTGATTAGTGGTGCAGGGCTTGGGAATCTGGCAGGGGGAGGGTGACCATTGCTTTCCCAATGCCAGTTTCCAACCCGTGTGCCACATCTGGCCAGTGGACCAAAGGTTGAACACCCTTGGATTATGCTATCTGACTAATAAAAGCTTCTGCTATGAGAGGTGGTGGCCTTCAGGAGCAAGGGAATAGCAAGGAAAGAGGAATGATGAAGGCAAAGATGCTTAACTGCAGGGTAAGAAAGAGGAAGCAGCAGTCTATTTAAGGTATAAATTCAGGAGTTGGATTTTTCTAACCATTTATGCAAATACAAAAAATATTTTTAATTGCTAAAACTATAATTTCATTCTGTGACTATAGATTTATGCAGAGAGAATTATTTTACTATGTTTCTCCTTGTGGTCCTGAAAAAGTACTTACATAAAAAGCCAAAGCTAAAATATTTTAAACAGGAACCCTCTATTCTTGATAAAGGCATTACAATTTAAAAACTGTTACACAAACCATGACATTGGTATTTGATTACACCGATTTCATTTTGTTAAGTATGAACTACCTAGTTGATTTTTTTTTTTTAATTACCTAGGTACAATCCCTGATTTCTAGGAATAATTTTCTGAAACACGCATTAATCTGCCTCCAAGAAATGGAGTAACTTAGCCATTATATTGATGTGATTTCATGATTGGCACCTGTTTGAGACCTTGAAACTTTAAATATTATTGGGCATATCCTGCTGGGGCTTGTGGGCAATTCATGGAGTGTTTCTGCAAAGAAAATGTGCAATGCATCTCTGGGGGTTTTTGCCACAGATGTTTGCACTGGCTCAGTGGATCCAAAGTGATCATAAAAGGTCAAGAATGCTGCTAGTATTTCCAGCACCAGATTAAAATAGTCAAGGTCTTCAAGCATACTATTCATGCAGCCACTCCAACAGTTTGGCCACACCATCATGCAACAACATCACCCCTTCACCTTGTATTAAGTGAGGGAGTCACCTATACAAGACACATCTGGACTGGTCACCAATCTCTCCTATTACAGCAGGCTCAGTCCCAATCACTCTATACTTTCATTTCATGTTTCACACAGGTTAGGATCTATCCTGGAGTACTAAGCCTATGCTTACACTCATATGTCCATATACAAATGTCAAATCCAACAGCAGTTCAGCAACCATTATGTGCTACTACTAAGGGACAGCCTCTAGTCTACACACAAATTTCTTTGTAAGGTAGTTGTTAGCAAGTGCCCCTCAAAGCTGAACATTTCACAGTTCACATCCCCACTAAATGAGGCAGTTTCTATAATTCAGTCTCTTCAAAGGAAGGTAGAATACCTGCTATTCATGCAGGCATCTCTCAAGTGGTTACACACAGTTCCTGTTTTTCAAAAATGTTATTTCTAATTATGAAGGGCAAAGTGGAAATGTGTTTTAAGCTGAGCCTGTTACCATCACATCTCCAAGAACCAGGGCACTGGCTATGATCCTACTGTGCCTATTCCTTGCAAGGTACATTACTGGTCAATAGCTGGGTTTTTTTAATTGGGGAAATAATTAAGCAACTAGCACAAACAGGTTGGATGTGACTTAAATCAATTTGATTTAAATCACTGGTCAGGAAGCCTCAATTAAGTCATTATTTTCTACAAAAGCGGATTCTTGTTGTTTGATATCCTTTATTCATTTATCTTCTTTACATTTTGGACTTCTAGAGAAAGGCAAGGGCTTGACTGTGCGTACACAAACTTGCAGAGACAAGAGGGCTGATAGGTAAGTAATCGCTCAGGTCTCTTATCTTTCATCTCCACATACTGCTGTTAACAAGGATGTTATCTCTGGAGACAACAAACTCTCCCTTATGCCTGAAGAAGGGTGTTTGTGCTTAAAAGCTTGCAAAGAACAATTTTTTCAACTATTTTGTTGGTCTAATAAAAGATATCACATTTACCCAAACAACCTTGTCTGCCTACACTGGCGACCCCCGGAATTTGGCAGTGACCTTCAAGTGGCCGCCATGCCCCCCCAGCCTCCAGGAGCACGCGGAATTCATGTCTGCTTATGATCTCTGGAGCTACAAATCCACAGTTCGAGAACTGAAACTAGACATCACAGAGATGCTTCATGGGATCTTCTAGACCAGGGGTGGCCAACCTCTGGCTCTGGAGCCACATGTAGCTCTTCGCACAAGCACATGGTGACAAGCTTTGGTTGGTCACTCCTGTTCTAGACTGAGCACTGAGTCCCATTGGGCAGAGTGTTTTTTTTTAATCTTTACTACTCTATAGAGGTGTCTCTGGGAACCCTATAAGGCTGGGCCCTTATAGGGTCCATGGCCTGCTGTGACCTATTTAGAAATCTTCTAGAAAGGTTACATGAATATATTGTCTCAAACAGTATATAATTAGAAGTTATAATCCCTATTTCATGATGATATCTTTGAGGTTTAACACATCTTAAATTAAGACTATCTTTATATAAGTTTTTTAAAACATCTTAACAAAAAAATAAATAAACGATTACATTTAAAAAAAATCTTTTTTTTTTTATTTTTAAATTGTTGATTTTTATTTTATCCACCCTGAGCACAAATAACTAAACTGGGTATGAGGAGCCCTTAAGTTACTGATTATGGGTTGACATAAAGAGTAACTGAAACATTGCTCACAGACAAATTCATCAGGGACCTAAGATTTTAGCAGTTTCTAATAAAGCTCTGACTTGTGGACGGCATCTCTATGAGGCCAGGGAGACCTACACTTTCTCCTGCTTATCGGGCTAGGCAGTGGTTCTCAAACTTTTTAGACAACAGGTGCCTCTGGGGAAAAAAGCACTAGGTTTTCACTTGCTTTTTTAACTACAGGAAAATACAAGAGCAGTTCTGTTTTGTTCTCAAAAGCCCACAAAAAGGAAGAATGTTTTTAACACTATGGACTTCTATTGGAAATCCCTGTTTATCACGTGACTCATATTTGCACATCTAACTGTGCTAATATTGCATGGCACCCTACAGCAACCTTGACAATTCCCTACTAAGATAAATGAGGCAGTACCTATAACTCAGAACTTGGTCTGTTCTCAAAGTAAGGTAGAATACCTGCTATTCAGGACAGGCATCTCTCAAGTGGTTACACACAGTTCCTGTTTGCAAAAACATTCTTAATTATGAAGGCTAAGGGGGGAAAAGTTGTTTAAGTTGAGACTTTTGCCCCTGCCACACATTATATATATTACGCAATTAACTGGTAAATCATGCAATGAATTTAGACTAGCCACATATGCAGAGTAAGACTGGCTAAATGCGCAAAGTAATTCTTATGCAATTAGCTGGTTAAGCATGCAAGAAATTCAGAATAGCCACAGGTTGAAAGACCAGCCTCATGTACAAAGCAATCACCATGCAATTAACTGCTGAATTGTGCAATAAATTTAGAATGGCCAGATGTGCAAAGTAAGACCAGACTCGCATACAAAGTAATTACCACAGTTAACTAGTGAATCCCACAATAAATTAGACCAGGGCCACACATGCAAAGTAAACCACTTCACCATCAAAACATCTATCCAGCTACAAAAAGGGCCAATCAGCTACAAACAACTCTACAAGTGGTTTCTATCCAGCTTGAATGTGAATGTGTGGCAGGGCCCCCTGTAACTACCACCATGCCTCCAAGAACCAGGGTGCTGGCTATGGGCTCGCTGTGCCCATCCCTTGCAGGGTACATTACTAGTCAGGAGAAGGGTGGCACCCTGGTTGAGAATCACTGGACTAGGGCATTGCTTGGGGCAAGGACAATGCTGATGCTGTCATTTCGGGGTTTCAGAACAAATCCTGACATCTTCCACTGTTTTGTTTTTTGGGGATGGTTTGTTTTTTTTTTTTTGCAAATTTGATTTTTCAACAGCAGTTTCAGCGGCAGGGAAACACCAGCTCACACCTGGCCCGATTTGCACCCACTGGACGGAGCTGCAGCAGAGACCACAAAGGAGCATGCAAAACAGCCCTTCCCATGTACACAGATCCAAAACCAGGTGAGCCTAGTTTGTTTGTTAACAGGTCTTGGGCCCTGTGGCACCAACCACACCAGGGGTGCTCAATTTCCAGGCTGCACTTGGGCCAAACGTGTTGTGCAGAGCCATTGCATCTGGCCCACCTGCAGCACTCCCCATGGGCTGGGAAATTTGGTGGTGGGGGAAGCAGTGACCACCCTCCCCCACTACTACCAAGTCCCCCAGCACAGCTGCATTGCCAAATCTTAGATATGAAATTATTGTATTGGAAGCTCAGAACTATCATATTTGCTTGAAAAACTATGCAAATAAGTCTTATTTACTTTATATTGTTCACTGTAAACTGCCAGTGAGTGAGACCCAGGTCAAAGTTGAAGCATTTCTTTACTTGGAGGCAAGCAGCCATCAGGAAGTGCTGGCAGCAAACCCACAGGTCTGTTAAGACTCCCTGGGAGTGACCTGCATGTGCTGCATTAATGACCTGCCTGAAAATTATCGTACATTTTGAACACTTGTACTGTTATTGATAGTACAAGGGTTAAATTATTGTACAGATAGGATCATTATGGCACAGCTAGCAACACTGCAGCATAGCCGCCCCTGCCCCCGCGAGGCTGAATGGGGCCGGGGCAGGCCCGGGCAACGATGGCCGCACCTGGGCAGGCTGGGCTGGAAATGCATGGTGGGGATGGTGCTCCGGTGCACGAAGCGGTGGTCCGTGTCCAGCTCGGAGACGATACCCTCGGTCAGCCCCACGGTCCGCCAGTACCGGCGCCGCCCCGCGGGGCCCGCCCGCCCGCCGCACAGCGGCCCCGGCCCTGTCGAGACGAGGAACCGGCGGCCAGTAAAGCAAGCTGCTCCTACGCCTGCGCAGTGTAACCACGTGACTGCCTTCCGCCAATAAGCGAGGGAAAAGGCAGGTGGTGGGCGCGTGTGCGCCGGCGCCTGCGCACAAGGGACTTGGAGGTTTAGGCGGGCGGTTTTCCCGCGTGGCGTGTGTATGCTGCTTGTTGCTTTTGGAGATGGGCGTGCTGTAGGGGCCATAGGCTGAGCTGCTGGCAGGGAGGCTGACGAGTATAGCCGGCTTTGCAGGGGCTGCCCTTGAGAAATTTGGAGGCTGATTCTCCTTTCGTAGTTCCCTGTCCTGCTTATGGCACATAGAAACCCAGGGGTTGTTGGATGGCTGATGTCTTTCACCTTAGTGGTGGCTGTGTTTGAACTGTGCTCTGCGGGCAATCATTACAGCTTTTCAGGATGAAGGTACTTTACATGGAAGCACAAGAGCTGATTATCTTATAATTTAGCCCTTAGGTGGTAGTACCCAGTGCCACTTTACCCATCTCTGGATAACAAAATCGCCTATCTCTTTTGCTGTGGTTGCTCTCTAAAACCCCTCACTAAGAGAATTATGCTTTGTGGCCTTGTATACTAACGCACTCTGTTCTTTATTAATCAGAAGTGAGAGAAACACCAGATCTGACTCGGTTTTGATTAGTTTTACACTGACACAGCTTCTCCAAGATGAAGAGCAGTTCCTGATTTGCACAGCTTGAAGCATATGTGGTTGTTTCAGCCCTTTGTTTGAATACATTGCAGTGTTTTTAGTGCTGCAGCATTTAAAATATTGGCACAAAGTTTGTCACTGCTCATCCCTTGTATAATGATGCATCCTGTGGCTGAAGAGCATTCTTGGTGAGAAACTCAATACAAGTAAGCCTTCTGCAATTCCTTTAAGGAACAAAAATATTTTCACTGATGATAATAAATACTGCTGTCATCTGCAATGTTTTCCTCATTCCTGCCTTTTTTCTAAAACATTTGGGAAAGCCTTTACCTGTCTTGGAACAATATAAATCAATTGTCCACCCAAATTTAGGGCTGTTGCTGGGGGATCTCATTGCTAAAGAATGCTGGAAAGCCTAACCAATACAACTGTCAGCAGTTTAAATTCAAGCACTTAATCACTTATTAACCAGTTGAACTGTCAGCTGTTTTGAGTTCACAATCGCACACTAACCAAAGTGCAGTAGGTTCCCTCTTTGCTTTTAAAATGAAGTGTTCTTAAAGTGAGATATGGGAGGTCACTGGTAGGACCAGTACCTCCATTAAACTGAAGCCCACAATCTTGACTCAGCTAGTCTTCCTTCATTTTCATGGAAAACTGTTTTTCTTCTTTGTCACTATTAAGAAAGTCTCATTTGTCTGTCAGATTTCCGTAAGAATCATTAGAAACATGCAGACAATTTGATGGTGTTCTATATCTAAAATGTCTGTGATATCAAATATGCTATTGTTTTCTTCTTGCTAAAATCTGGCTCAAATTTACAGTTCTGGCAGAGGTAATGATAAATGCCTGCTGGTTGCACTATTCACTCTTTTTGGGAAACTCAATTTATATAGCTGCAAAATAGTAGCAGAGTGATCCATTTTATAGTTCTGTTCTTTCAGTTAAATAAGCTGGTTTGTTGTTTTCACTTCCAGTGCTAGACTGAATAGCATGACATGGTTGCATCAGCTGTAAAGATGCCAAAAAAATTGTTTTTTCAGCTTAAGATGGTTACCATGGAGCAGGTAATCTATTGTAATTTCTTGATTTGAGATGTACTACTTAGCACACAGTCTCAGCAATGCAGAATAATTAAAGTCCAGAATGTATCTATGAAGATAAAATGACAGTTTCCTTTCTAATCACATCATAAAACTTTTGAAAATTAAAATTTATTTTTATTTGTGCTACTGGACTTCTATTTAAATAGTATGAAACCTACCAGGAAGCTGCTCTGAATGCTATTAGAATATAATGGGTTAAAGCTTTAAATTTTATATAAAGGTTCTGTGTTTTTAGCATTAACATTTTAATACTTTAAGGAATAAAGGACTTACTGTGCTTTCTGTACTTACAGGTTGGTGATGGTAGGTTGGAGTTTTCCATTTAAAAGTTAGTATATATTTATCATGCATATTTTCCTAAAATCAGTGTAATGTATATATTGGTAGATGCAATAACTTTGAAAATGTTATTTTAGTAAAATGTAATGCATCACATCCTCTCCATGACAATATAGAAAACAATAGTTTCGTACAGACAAGAGGATTATTCTCTACAATATAATACGAACAACTCTGTAGAGAATAATCCTACATTAACTGAGGTATGTACTACAGCTAGTCATTTTTCATCTCTAGTTTATAGTTATGTAACATGTCTCGCTTCCTATAATAGTTACTAATTTGCCATCAATAGGAGAGTACATTTAGTTATGTAAAATTAAGTCTTCTGTGTATGGTGCTTATAATCAAGTTTCAGGGACTGAAATGAGCGGCTATCAGATTACTTCAAGGAATATAGCACATTTCTATTATTTCTACTCTGAGCTTCCAATAATGAAAATACCTTTATTCATAATTCAGAATCTTTACAAATCATTCTGGACTTGTTTGACTATTCAGTCAGTCAGTACCAACAAGCTTGTTTTCCCTTTAAAAAGTTCTTTACAGTGCTTGTGCAATTCTATGGCTGGGTCTTTCTCTATGTGGAGTTATTCCTTAGGACCACCAGCCCACTACAGGACATTTTTAACCCCAAGGGGTACTATAGCATCTGCCTAGCCTACACACAGCAGAGTACAACACATTTAGGCCCCACAATAGGGGGGGAGGGGAGAGGCACCAAACAGCAAAAGGAGAAAGGCTGTTAAAAAGTATCTGGGATAACCTTTGGAGAAATAAGGAAAATTCAGATATAATAAATGGCCAGCAAAGATTAAATTCAGCTTTTGTGTTTTACAAAGTTCAGATTATTGTTTATGTGTATGGCATGGTATTGTGGTGTGTGTGTGTGGGGGTGATTTTTTTTTTTTTTTTTTTTTTTTTTTTTTTAATTGGAAGCCTTGAGCAGTGTTGTGGGCTGTCCTGCATTTCCATGTTAATAAGAAAAGGTCATATGCATTCTAGGACGAGAAGATAATTTATCATCCTACAGGCAGCTGGATGGTATCTGTAAAATGAGCAAAGGTCAGTCTTTGACAGAATCTGATGACAAAGCAGGTTCAGACTTCTGACTGGGGAACAGCTAACTCTCTTACTATGCTGAAGGCTCAGTGCATGAGAAGTATTTAGATAGCCTGGCAGAAATTTAGAAGTAAACCACTAGTGGTTTGCTGAGTGCATCATGGAGTTAAGCTTCTTACCATTCCTGAATAAGTGGGAGTGAAAGAGACTGCTTTGGCTTTCCTGGTGCAGATATACAGGCTGAAACTTCTGCTTATGAACAAAAGTTAGTACCCTTAGCTCAAAGACAGGCAGCATGGATACTGTGCTGTGTCCCCTGCATTCAACTACGGTCAAATTCAGCAAACAAAGCTCAGTAACTCAGGTTTTGTCTGAAGAAGGTGAATGTCACCTTAAACGAGAGTTTCTTTAAAATGGGGTGTCAAAGTCACCCAGCCCCATGGGCCAGATAAAAGTTGCTTAGCTAGTCTGATGGGTGGACCAAGATCAGCCCCCCTGTGCAGTGCTCAGGGTGCTGGGTCCAGCCTGTGTGCCACATATTGCCTGGGGACTCTCTGTGCATGAAGCCCATGGAGCCAGCATTGGGTGTGTGGGCTGGATCTGGCTCTGCAGGCAGCTCGTGTTTGGTCCAGGGTGCCACATGCAGCCTCAGTGCTGCATGTAGTGCTGGGTCCAGCTTGCATGCTGGGGCTGGGGCCAGTGTGTAGGGTCAGTCCAGCAACCTACAGGCGGGATGTTTGATATCCCTGATTTAAAATGTATGCAGATAAGTCTGTTATATTAATAAAGTATAACTATTTAATTTATTTCAACGGCTAAGAAAATTAAGGGATCATAAGCAAATGTTTGTAAAAACCTAAACAGCTAAGAGACAGCAGTGCTGTTTACAAAACAAAAATTCCAGTGAGCTTCATGAAAATTAGCTGGATATCCCCTCCTTGTAGAAAGCTGATGGAGAGGATTGGAGAGAGAAATACAGCAAATGCCATTACAGATTTCCAGTGATGCTGTTTCAATGAGTATTGGATTTACTATTCCCAGAAGAAACTACTGCGCTGTTTCCAGTCAATGTATTCCCAAAGACTTTCAGGGCCATCTGTGTAGATGGATTAGGTCTTCACAGAAGCATATCTTCTTGGCAGCTTGCCCCAGATCTTGGCAGCGTTGTTTCATTGGAGTGGTGCCATAAGGGAGTTCCCCAGCTGTGCTGGTACTACAGAAGTCATGAAAAGGGTGCTCCACTGAGTAATAGCTGTCATGGAAAACATAATGTTACATATTAACTTTTGCTTGTTATTACCAGGGATCCTGATTTTCTCCAATTAAAAAAAATCCCTAATTTTCAGTTAAAAAATAAGTCACCCCAAATCTATATTTTTTCCATGACTAAAATGAAACACCACTATATATAAATCTATATATTTGCAGTGTTTAATTTAAATCATGGAAAAATGTAGATTTGGAATGACTTTTTTTAACTGAAAATTGGGGATTTTCTTAAATCAGAGAAAACCAGGATCCCTGGTTATTACCGCTGCACATGGGGTTGCTTAGACAAAAGTTTCCTCTGGCTCTCCCATTCCAGCTCTTTCCTATTCTCTGAGCCTCACCTTTTCTATGAGGAGGAAGATATCTATGTAGCCCATTCCAAGTTAGACTTCCGGTAAGTTGCCCTATAGTGATCACCAGGTTAACATTCACGTATGCCTGTGTTTAAAGAAGAATTAAAAAGCAAGTTTTATATGTGGGACAGCAAGCAAGCTTTGCAAACCTCTGGTCTGGCTCTAACTGACAT